TGGTACTCTGACACACAGTAGTACCCTGTCTGACACACAGACTCCCACACCAGCTTCTTCTTCCCAGCTGCTGCTTCGTCACATCCCAGCGTCTAAACTTCACCACACAGGCTTCACATATATATACAGTACAGCCCCTCCTCCTGATGTCCCGCCTTCCACTCCCCATAGGATGGAACTTTCCCTCCAAACCCATGACAGACAGGTAACATCAGTGCTGTATGTAACAGCAACCTCTGGGATTGCAGGTGGTTCAGTGACAAAGGCAACATGGAGTTGTCAAGAACAAATCCTAACAGGCTACTCTTATTATTTAACAGGTAACCTCTTAATAGGTAGTGGGGATGCTATAGATAAAATGTATGTTGAATTTAAAATCATAGAATAATGGCATTGCAAGTGGCCTACAAGGCCACTCAGTGCAGGATTTGAAATCAAAGCAGATATGGGAGATGGTTGCACAATTTTCTCCTGTATGTTCCTGTAGCTTGAACCCATTATTATGTGTCCTGCACTCTGGGATGATCAAGAACAGATCTTGCTCCTCCTGTATAACTGCCTTCCAAGTGTTTGAAAAGTGCTATCCTATCTCCTCTCAGTCTTCTTTTCTCAAGGTTAAATGTGCCCTGTTCTTTCAGTCTTTTCTGAGAGGGCTTGGTTTCCAGTCCTTTGATCGTCCTTGTTGCTCTCCTCTGAATTTGCTCCTGTTTATTGACATCTTTAACTGTTTTCTGGACTTGATATAACTGTCAGCCTTATCTGGGTACAAGAAATACCCAGTCTCAAAGGGCAAAGATTCTCAAGGAGCCAAAATGCTGTACAGTGGTACCCCGCTTTACGATTACTCCGCTTCATGACGACGTTTATGCGATCGCAAAACAATGGTCTAAATAGGGTTTATTTGCTTTGCGATGATCGGTTCCCTGCTTCGGGAACCGATTCTTCGCGAAACAATGTTTTTTAACAGCTGATCAGCGATTTCAAAATGGCTGCTGGGTAATTAAAATGGCTTGCCGCTGTATTTAGGGATGGATTCCTCACTATACAGGCACCGAAAATGGCCGCCGTATGGAGGATCTTTGCTGGACGGTTTTTAGCCCATTGGAACGCATTGAACAGTTTTCAGTGCGTTTCAATGGGCTTTTAATTTTCACTTTACAATGTTTTTGCTTAACAGCGATTTTCCTGGAACGGATTATCGCCGTTAAGCGAGGCACCACTGTATCTTTGTGCTTTGATGATGTCATTTTTCCCCTACTTTTCTACCCATTCTATCTAGAGTGATTTATTACAATGTATTCAGTTTATTTAATCTTGTCTTGTACTCTCTAACATAATATTAATCCAATCTATTCTATTTAAATCGGTGTAGATTTCATCCAGCTGTAAAGAGGTTCCCCTTTATTATTATCCAGTCTGCCATTTAGTGTATCTGTAAATAGAAGAAAAATATCTATTCCTTTTCTTTTTCATTTTCCAGGATTGGACGCCACTCAAAATCCCTGGACACACAGCGCTTTGTGTGTGCCCTTTGCAAGGGACAGCTAGTGCTCTGCCAACCCACAAGGAAAGATGGTACACCAGCTAAAACATCCCTTGCTCCCTTTGCAAAATATGTGAAAGAGAACTATGGCTGCACTAAGCGATCGCAGCAGGGCCTAAGTCACGGAGCCATCATGAAGAAGCTCAGCATGGACTTTGCAGCCCAGACAAGTCTCCTCAGCCCTTGAATTGCTTCAGCAATGGACTGATGCAGCAGCTCCAATTCCACACTGCCAGGCTCCTTCCCAAGAAGAAAGCAGAGCCCTGGGAAATGTCCGGAAAGAAGAGGGTATTTGGACATATCTTTGGGCATGGCTCGGCCATAGCTCTGTCCTTTTTCTAATCTTTATGTCTGTGAACTTGTTTGCCCCCCAAGGCATTGAACTTTTTTTTTTACAATACATGAATAAAGTGCAGCTTTAACACTTGAACTTTATATTTTGTTTATCTCTTTTGTGTATAAAAATGACCAAATGGTTGTATTTGTGAGTTAGGAAGTTGGCGTGCTGCTCGCAGCTTTTTAAGATGCCCATGGCCACAGAAACTGGCAAAACGTTAGGAAGAAAAACCTCCAGAACGTGGCCAAACATGTTCTGGAACAACCTACAACAACCAATTTATTATTTCTCTTTTTTGAGAAAGAGTGTGTGAGAGAGATTGCGAAGGAAACAACAGTGTAATAGCAACAATGAAAGTGTACTTTCTCAGGCGACTAGCTGGTGAGCTTGTGATGTCAAGGCATTCTATCACCATGGATGCGCACAACTTTCTATAGTTGCCAGTCACTTGGAATGAAAGTGGTCCTCACCAGGTTCCAATGCATTGTCTTCTCTTACGCTTCACCTGAGAGGTGGTTGGCTAATAGCTAAGACGTCAAGGACTCTGTATTAAAACGCAAGTTGGTGAGATCCACAAGCTTTAGGGAGTAGCACTGGGTTTTGTGACAAAAAGTGAAAGGTAGCATACAGATATCAGTCGATGTAGTGAGAGGCATAAACCCTCACTCAAAAGCAATAGAAAGTCCTTCCATCCAGCAAAGAAGGAAGTGCCATCATCTTTGTCTAAATCCAAAGTAGCAACCATTGGCCATCTAGATATTGGTGGACAACAATATTCTTCTCTCCCACTTGGGCTAAGCTTATGGGAATTGCATCTCAATATCTAAAGGGCCTCAAGTGGCCCACTTTGTCCTCTCAAATATGTGGCTAACCTGATTGGTGGTAGCCTGTTTATGTCTAAGCCAGCATGAAGTGTTGCCTGTTACCTGCTCATTAAGCCCAGAAATCAAAACCTGGAACCTTGCACATATAATGCGTGCTCGATACTAAGTAGTGTACCTTCTTTATCTTTGCACAAGCCTTGTGTTGGCATGCAGGCCAGGACCTCTCACACCAGAAGCAGCGATTGATGCTTACAGAGATTTAAACCCGAGAGAGAGAGAGAGAGAGAGATTACACTTTCTTTTCTAAAAAAATATGCTACATATTCAAAAATAGATCACATATCATTGTGTCCAAATCACTAGCACCACAATTATATAAAATCGAGTTTGCCCCAATCACATCTTCAGGTCATGCCCCAATAAAAGTACAATGGAGTAACTATATTTTAAAAAGAAATCAAAGAATTGGAGGCTAAATTCTAACATGCTTACTAGCCCATGAATTATTGCAAAATTTAAAAAATATATTAAGCTGTTTTATGAAATAATAATAGCTATTTCAAAACCAGAAAAAGATACCACACTCCCCTCTGCTTATAGACCAATAACATTACAAAACCAAGATCAATTTCCCCCCTTTATTTTAGCACAAAAACTGAATAGTTTTGTCACAAATTATATCCACACCAATCAATATGGTTTCATAGCAGGTAGGCAAATGTCTGTATTGAACTGTCCGTTCAATGCATTTAAAGGGGAAAAACAAAAAATCACCAAAAATTAACGAAGACTCAGAACAGAGCCAAATTAAGTTTGCACATCTTTCACAAGGTGGACTACTGATTCCAAGCATTTAAAACAGGTTTCAAACATTTTAAGACACTTAAAAATGAGCGAAAACGGACATCGTTAAGTGAAAATCCCCCATAGAGAACATCGTTAAACGATGAGGAAAATTCCTCCAAGAAATACATCGTTAAGTGAATTCTTCGTTAAACGAAGCAATCGCTAAGCGAGGCACCACTGTATTATGAAGCTTATGAAGGACATTTTATTTGGTGCCTGGGTAGAAATGCTCTAAGAGTCAGCTGGTGGTCTTCTTGGAAGACAAGGTCCAGCAGCTGGAGGCCTGTGTTCTAATTTCCGCACTATCAGGAAGCAGGCCAGATAGGTGGGGCTCGTCAGCCTCGTCAGCCTTCTAGGAGAAGGAAAACTCCGATTTCAAACCTCCACTGCCTGGTGGCTATATCCACTGATGGAAAAAGCTTCGGGAGTTAACCTCAAGGCAAAATTCGGTGCCGGAATCCCGGTGGCAGTTCGTGTCGTTCTGGCAACTCCTGTGATGTCGCTGGAACCAGTTGTATTGGCTCTTGCCTTTCCATTTAGTGATGTGAAGAGGGGGGATTTGCTGCTTGGGTAACAGCCTATGCTCCATATTATTTTACCCAGGCTTCATGCTCTGGAGAGGACACTCTCGTTCTCTTAAAACCAAATTTTTAGGCATTCCTCTGGAGGTGCCAATTTCTAAGAAAAATTCTTCTTAGTTGACTAGCCAGGAGAGCATAGCTGAAAATGCAGATCAATCTGTCTCAGGTGATCCTTTTTAAAAATCTCTCAGTAGCATTTTCCTAACCTGCGCTACAAGTCAATTCATCCCTGGCACATGAGAAGGAATTTGCCTTTTGGACAATTAGTTAGGATTAAAAGAAATACAGAGGAGAGGCTGTTTCTAGAAAGAAGCTGTAAGATGACAGCAGGCTTCAACAGTAGATGCTAACGTTGGAGGAGGGCCAATGTTATCCCTATCTTCAAAAAGGGCAAAAAAGGGGAACCTGGGAAATACAGGCCAGCCAGCCTTCCATCAATCCTAGGCAAAATTCTGGAAGAGATCATAAAGCGATCATTGTGCAAGCACCTAGAAAACAATGCAGTAAGAACTAGAAGCCAACACAGATTTGTCAAGAACAAATTCTGCAAAATTAATTTGATCAAGGTTTTTTTTGATCATGTCAACTTCCTGATAGAGGGAATGCTGTACATGTATATTATATCTTGACTTCAGCAAAGCTTTTGACCAAGTGCCCCACGATATCCTGATTAGCAAGCTAACTACTGTAGGTGTGGGCTGGATAGACCAAATGTCAGGTGGACACACAATTGGCTACAGAATCGTACTCAGAGGGTGGCGATTAATGGGTCCTTCTCTAACTGGGAGGAGGTCACAAGTGGGGTACCCCATGGCTTCGTCCTGGGCCCGGTGCTCTTCAATATTTTTATTAATGACCTGGATGAAGAAGTGCAGGGAATGCTTGTCAAATTTGCAGATGATACCAAACTGGGCTGAACAGCTAATACCCTAGAACAGTGGTCCCCAACCTTTTTGTCATCGCGGACTGGTTGGGGGAGGACAGGATCTCTGTGCAGGGAAAGCAGGGCACCCCCATGCTTGCTTACATATGCTAAGGGGTGGGGCCCTTGTGTGGGTGCACCCCCTTTTTTTGGTCATTTCTTATCACTTTCCCATCCCCATTGAGCAAATTAACCACTGCTTCTTTTCTCTGTCATTTGCTACAACTGAAGAATTTTTTTTGTATTGTTGTTGACTTTTAGCCTCTCTTGCTAACTTCAGCTCATTTTAATTCATTCATTCATTCATTCATTCATTCATTCATTCATTCATTCATTCGATTTTTACCCCGCCTCTCTAGACAACGTCTACTCTACTATTTTAAGCTTTTGCATTCCTAATGCCATCCTTGCAAGTCTTTACTATGAGGAGCTGGGCTGAGGCACCTCCCTTATGAGGAAAGGCTACAGTGTTTGGGGCTCTTTAGTCTAGAGAAAAGGCTCCTGAGGGGGACATGATTGAGACATTCAAAATTATGCAGGAGTGGATATAAAGTGGAGAGAGGGAAGCTCTTTTCCCTCTCACACAATACCAGAAACAGGTAACTTCCACTCCAATTGAGTGTTAGGAGAGTGAGAAGAGACCAAAGAAAATATTTCTTGACCCAACATGTTGTTGTTAGTCTGTGGAACTCCTTGCCACAGGATGTGATGATGGCTTCTGGCCTAGATACCATTAAAAGGCGATTGGACAAATTTCTGGAGGAAAGGTCCAGTGATAGATCCCAGTAGGTCTGGGTTTGTCACAATGGCTTCTGGCCTAGATGCCATTAAAAGGTGATTGGACAAATTTCTGGAGGAAAGGTCCATCGCAGGTTACAAGCCATGATGGGGATAGAGAGCAGAAGGTCCATGAGTCCATCATCTCAGATAATTCCTAACCTGGTGGCACGTGTCTCTGCCTATTAGCTCTGTTGTCCTGTGGCGTTTGAAAATGAGGCCCAGTTTCTCATTACATGCAATATAATGACCTTTAATCATTTAAAGTGGTGCTCTTGGGCAGAAGGGCAGAATATATATTTAATGTATAAATAAAATCCTTTTGTCTCATTGCCCCATATATTGCCCCCTCAGGTGCTTTGTCAAATCACTTTTTTATTTCTTTTTGACAGTGCTTAAGTGCCCAGCAGTTGCTGAAATATGGCACCAAAGAGAAGTAAGTCACGAGAGAAGAAAGGTACTGCCAAAGTGCAAAGCCCCTGTGTGCAGTTGGTGAGTGAAAGGGAGAAATACCTACAGAAAGAATATGGCATTCTGACAGAGCATGTCAACACATACACACAGCGTTCACAACACTTCCAATCAGAAAACGAATTCCTAGACAAGGAAGCCCAGCAGATCCGAGAGGACAGCAAAGCCTACCTTGGCTATCTAACAAAGCGCACTGTCCGCTGCCAGAATGCCATCATCACGCTGAATGACCAGAACCGTTCGGATCTAGCCCATGTCCTGAAGCAAATGGACGAGCTGACCTCCCAGTACACAGACAAGGAGAAAGAAGTGAGGAGCCAGTTGATAGAGATGGAGACGAAGTACTCCCTCATGAACAAAGAGGTGGAAGAGCTGAAGCCCTTCAAGGAACTACAGTCAGACCAGTTGACTCGGATCCGTGAACTGGAGAAGGAGCTTCTAGCTATGAAGATCCACCACTCAGAGCAAATGCACAAGGTCAAGAGCCAGTTCCTGCAGCAGAAGGCAGAATATGAGATGGCGTCTCAGCAGAAAGTGCAAGCTCTGGCCAAACGGGCTGAAAAGGAAGCCGTGCGCAGCCTCATCCAGCACACCAAGCAGGTGAAAGCCGAAAACTGGCAACTGCGCAATGAACTGCTGAACCTCACCAAAAGAGCTCAAGGCCTGAAAAGCATCGTGCACCAGCTCAGCGAGCAAAAGGAGCAGCTCCTCCGGGAGCTCCAGTACCGGGAAAACCTGGCAGACATGCGGCGCTGGCTAATGCAGCAAGGAGTTCCACGGGCCACCCCTTCCAGCAACAGTCTTGCAACGGAGCATATTCTCAGCTCCACCCCTTTTACAGCTCCTCAGAGGCTTGGAAGCAAGCTTCCAACGCTATCCGTGAACACTGAACTGACAGACGATAGCTTGCCTGCAACAATTAAACCCCTCAGTAGGGAGTCAACTGTATCCACTGGAACGAGGCAAGCACCAGACCAGGCACAGCTGGCATGAAAGGATCTAAGATGGGGTGATGCCGGCTGTCTCATAGCTGGCAAGCTGAGGGCAGGCTGGGTGAAAGCGTCCTGTTGAGATGGCAACCCTCACACAGAAGCAAGCAACTGTTTGGGGCAGGACAACAGAAGCAGACAAGGCGTGAAGCGTTGGTCTCTTCACGGCTGAGCAGAGAAACGTGAGAAGCCTGACAATAATAAAACTATAATAAAATGTGTAGAAACTATGGGATCGGTTATCTGGTTATGTTCACAGTGTCTACCCTCAGGAAGACTTGATCAATAAGATGCCTGATGCACCAAACTTTTACAATTAAAAGTATTGGTCTGAGTTCTAGAACAGGAGAGGGAGGAGAGTCCAAAACCTATCCAGGCCCTCGTTTTTGTGCAGAGAAGCCTTTTTTGCAGGATGAATAGGATCGCTCAAGATCCTTCAAAACAAAAGCAGAAGCAAGATGTGCTGGCTATATATACTGCCCCATAGCGCTTAAAGCTCTTTCTGGATGTTTTTAAAACAATTTTTATTTATGCAGGCTACACATTACCTCCCCTGGCAAGCTGGGCACCCATTTTACCAACCTTGAAGGATGAAAGGCTGAGTCAACCAACCTCAAGCCACCTCCTTGAGCCCAGGATTAAACGCAGAGCTTGAGCAGAGTCTTCACTGAGGTACTGAAGTTCAACCACTGCACCCGGAGGCTCAGAATTAGAACAGCAGGGTATCAAAAACTTACAGGGAAACATGTCATCTTTAGAACCTTTCCTGTCATGGTCACATCCTGACAAGGATGGCAACAAAATTAGCTCAGTTACCTCAAAGATGGCTGGTATAGCTTGCTGACTCTTTGTGGAGCAGCGGCTGCCTCCCTTTCTGGCGCTTGCATTGCCACTGGCACTCGTTAGTTCGTTTAGTCATTTAGTCGTGTCCGACTCTTCGTGACCCCATGGACCAGAGCACGCCAGGCCCTCCTATCTTCCACTGCCTCCCAGAGTTGGGTCAGATTCATGTTGGTTGCTTCGGTGACCCTGTCCAACCATCTCATCCTCTGTCGTCCCCTTCTCCTCTTGCCTTCACACTTTCCCAACATTAAGGTCTTTTCCAGGGAGTCCAGTGGAGTGCCACTGGCACTACACTGAGTCAAGTCAGGTGGGCCAGTTTGTATTCTTGGATGCCAGGTGAACACAAACTGTGGTCAGGATGCCAGAGGGGGTTCTGGGGGGGCCCTCTCCATCTCAACATCCCTTAGCTGCTCCTACTTCCACGAGGCCTCATTTCCAGGGGTCCTCTTTCAGGTGGTATTCCACCTCCCCTTCAGCACAGGACACAGAGCTGAACTCCATAGACACTTCATCTCAGGCCTCCTTGCTCTCCAAGTTAGCTTCGCTGTCTCCTCCTGCACTTAAGGATGCTGTACCCGTCCTGTCTCCTTTCTCCCCTCCTCTCTGCCTTTTTTGCTCAGCTGTCCCTTGTTCTCTGGCCTCTCAGCAGCTCTCAGGCCCTCCCTCCAGGTTGAGGCAGTTTCCTCTTATCTTCCAGAGAAGCATCCTTGTAACATCCAGAGCCGGGTTGGGGGAGTGAGACTGGAGGAGGGATGCTAACTGAAGCCAAACTGCCTCCCGAGAGAGTTTCCCCATCTCCAAACCTTTCTGCCTTCCAGCCAGCTCCTTCCTCAACACTTTGCAGCGGTTTTGATTGGTATTGATCTCTCTGAGCATGTGAAGAGAGTTTTAGTACTGACTCGTGCCCAAAAGGAAATTGAAAAGACAGCTGAGGAGAAAGACGATGGGGAGATGATGACAGACAATAGTGACTCAGCTGAGTTAATACAGTTTAGTAATCCCCAAATCAATACTTTTACTCAGGAACAAAACCTTAATGAAGAACCATTAACCCCTGAAAGACCGGAACGGTTCTGTATAGAGAAGGATCCGTATTGAGAAGGACCCTTAGTGAATCCCAGGAAGGGAGGGGAAAATCTTCAGAAGCAGCTGGTGGTTCCTTTAAAATATCATCAGAAAATAATAGAAAGAGGACACTCTGATGTATTTTCAGCTCATTTAGGCATCACCAAAACTAAACAAAGAATAGCACAGAATTTTTACTGGCCTGAGATGGGGAAGCAGATAAAAGATTTCTGTCAAAAGTGTGATGTGTGTCAAAGGCATGGGAATAGCAATGATAAGACTAAAGCAAAGCTATTTACCTATTATTTCTACCCCATTTCAATGCATTGGTCTGGACATTATAGGACCACTGCCCAGAGTCACCCAAAGGGGGAACAGATTTATTTTAACCATCATTGATTACACCACATGGTACCCTGAGGCGATTCCTTTGAGGAATATTGAGACTCAGCTGATGCCTTGCTTAGCTATATGAGCCGTATGGGGTTCGTGTATGAAATAGTTACTGACTTAGGATCATCGTTTACCTCTAAGCTTATGCAAAGATTGTGGAAACTTTGTGGGATCAAACATGTCACTTCCACCCCCTATCATCCGCAAACTAACGGCTTGGTGGAGAAATTCAATGGAACCGTCATGCGTATGATTAGGGCATACTCGGTAGAGAATCCCTACAATTGGGATCAGAAACTGCAACTTCTGTTATATGCTTATAGGTCTGTGCCCCAAGAAAGCACTGGGTTCAGTCCTTTTGAGCTATTGTTTGGGAGAAAAGTAAGGGGACCCCTTGACTTACTCAAGCAAAGTTGGGAGAACATACAAGGATCTGATCCTGAAAATGTGATTTCATATTTAAACAACCTAATGAACACTCTAAAAAGAAACTTAGAGCTGGCTGCTACAAATTTACAGGGGCAGCAAATGAAACAAAAACTCTGGTATGACAAGAAAGCCAGAGAAAGAAATTTCAATCCCGGAGATGAGGTGCTAGTGCTAAGATCTCTCAAAGGGAATAAATTACAACTAAATTGGGCAGGACCATTCAGTATAGTCTCTAAAATGAATGAAATCAATTATATCATTAAGGAGGATGGAGAACCAGGCAGGAGAGTGGTCCATGTAAATATGATCAAGCCCTACTATAGGGAAGAGAACTGGGTTTTGTTTGCCATGAAGGAAGCAGACAATGGGAAACATGACTTACCCTATTGGGAAGGTAGAGGGAAAGCAAAATATAACCCTGAAGATGTCAGAGTTAGTCCTGTACTTTCCCCTGAGCAACAAAATGAATTGAGGGCCTTGGTAAGGAAATACCAACAGGTCTTTTCCAGCAAACCAGGGTTGGCCAAGGGAGTGGTGCACAAGATTGATACAGGGGATGCACCCCCACAAGTGGTCACTCCTTATAGAGTTACCGGGCCATATGTTGATAAGGTGCGCAAGGAGCTGGATGAAATGCTGAAGGAAAACATCATTGTTCCTTCATCCAGTCCATGGGCTGCTCCTATAGTGTTGGTTGACAAGTCGGATGGCAGCATTCGATTTTGTGTGTATTATAGGAAGCTGAACCATGTAACCAAGCCTGATGCATATCCTATGCCCAGATTAGATGATCTAATAGAGACCATAGGTGGATGTCAATACATATCCTGTCTAGATTTAACGAAAGGGTTTTGGCAAGTGAGAATAGACCCCAAAGATCAGGAGAAGACAGCCTTCTGTAGCCTTTTTGGTTTATTTGAGTTTTGTGTCTTGAGTTTTGGGTTGAGAAACTCACCAGCAACTTTTCAGAGACTCATGGACAAAACACTGCAAGGGCTTAGCGACTTCACAGTGGCTTACATTGATGATATAGGGATCTTTAGTCACACCTGGAAAGATCACCTGTATCACCTAGAGACAGTGCTGCAGAGAGTGAAAGCAGCTGGGCTAAGAGTGAAACCTAGTAAATGCCAGCTGGGTAGCCCCGAACTGAAATACTTAGGCCATATGGTAGGGGGAGGTAGAATAAAACCCCTAGAAGCCAAAATTGAAGCAGTTAGTAACTGGCCTAGATCCACCACCAAGAAAAAGATTAAGTCTTTTCTAGGATTAGTTGGCTATTATAGATGGTTTATCCCCAACTTTAGTGATATAGCCGCTCCTCTATCTGACCTAACACGCAAGAAGAGTGCTGATAGTATCCAGTGGTCCAGCAGCTGCGAGGAGGCGTTCGCGAAGCTGAAGGAGGTGTTGGTGACCAACCCAGTCTTAAGAGCTCCAGATTTCCAGCACGAGTTCACCATCTTCACCGATGCATCCAACACCGGGTTAGGAGCCATGCTGAGCCAGAAGGACGACAGCGGAGAATTTAATCCCGTGGCGTACCTGAGCAAGAAGCTGCAGGCAGGTGAGAGACACCTCTCGACCATTGAGAAGGAATGTCTGGCAATAGTGTACGCTCTTCAGAAACTGAAGCCATATATATGGGGGAAGACATTTTGTCCTGTGTACTGACCATTCCCCATTATTATTGTTAAGGACTATAAAGGCCAACAACAGTAAGCTGATGAGATGGGCCTTGCTTCTGCAGGACTTTGATTTTGAGGAACACGTAATCAAAGGGACTAAAAATGGTGCTGCAGATGCCCTCTCAAGAAGACCCGAAGACTAAAGAAGGAAGAAAAGGACTATGGTTTATTGGTGTAAGCAATAAAATGTTTATGTACATATTATCAAATGTTATATGCTTAGGAAATTACATGTAAGTATTTTTAAATGTTGTGGTAAGTTGGATGGCATTGTTGGGTTGATGGTATGTTGTATAGCTCCTCGTTGTTTATGAGGGTAAAGCACTATAGCTTTTCCCCCATAAAACAACTTGTTAAGGGGGGAGGTATGTAGCGTTCAGCCCTGCCCTCACCTGTCCGTCACAGCTGGGCAGAGGAAAAGCAGCCAATGAGGGGACGGAAGGTGGTGCTAAAGGGGGAGGAGCTGGGATATAAACGGGTGTATATGGTGTTTGAGGGAGATTTTGGGAAGAATTTGAGAGAGTTAGGGATTAGTGTGTCTGTGGGCCTTTGAGCCAAAAAGTCAGTGAGAGAAGTGTCTGTGTGTCAGTGAGTAAGAGACCTTGATTAACAACTAGTGATTTACCCATTTAATTTTTTTATTCAAATAAACAAGTTTTTAGTTTCAAAACAACACTTGTCTTCTTAAATATTTAATACTATTGGTGGCAGCAACTGAGTAGGAAGAGAGAGCACTCCTGGAGGCCTGAGACAATAGAGGCTTCAGTGTGCTCGCTACAGTTAGAGCATCCAAGCATTCTTCTCCCCTCCC